GATGTGGTGGAAGTGCAGGCCGCGCTGCAGCGTCTGCCGGCGCGCCACGCGCTGCGGCTGCTCGCCTACCTAGCAAAGTGGGCGGCCAAGTACGGGGAGCAGCCGCTCGAGGCCGCGATCGCGGAGGCCGCGGCTGCGGCGAGGCGGCAGGGCGCGCCGGCCGTGCCCGCGGAGCTGCGGCCGCCGGCGTGGGGGCAGGTGCTGGACTGGCTGCGCGCGCTGCTGGACTCCCACGTCGCGACGCTCGCGATGGCGCCGGCGGCCGCCGCGCCGCTGCGGGCGCTCGCCGGCAGCGTCGGCGGCCACGCGGCGGCGGCGGCGCGGCTGGCGCCGCTGAGGGGCGTGGCGGAGCACATGCTGAGGGGCGGCGCGCTGCCGGGGGCGGCGGCGGCGGCGGCCAGCAGCTACACGGTAGAGCTGTTAGACCTGCGGGTCCGGTCGAAATAGGCTGATGTTTTTCAACAGCCCTGCCGTCCTTTACTGCTGTTATCGGAAGACGGCAGGCTGTGCTGTGAGGTAGCCGATCGGCTGGCTTCCGTTCACCCCAATTGTCAGCAGGCGTGCTGGGCTCCTGCCTGTGGGCCTCATGTGTAACCGCGCAGGCGCCCGATATGCTCTGCTGTTCTCTCTGGGCTGGTGCTTCGCGCGGCAGCGCACCGCGCACGCGGGCTGCTGCTCAGGCTGCCGCTTTGTCCCCACAGCCAGGAGATGTTGAATAGGCAGATCGAAGCCAGTTACACGCCAGCCAAGAATGCCCAGCCCCTAAATTGAATTTGGTGAATAGCACGGCCCTCCGCACTCAACATGTGCAGCAGCAGCCTGTTGCCAAGCATTTGTCCAGCTACTCGCGCGCAGCGCGCCCTGGCGCGCCGCCGCCACTGCCGCAGCCGCTGCCGCCGCCGCAGTCCATCGGCCCTCGGCCCATCGGCCGCCCCTCAGATGCCGTCGCCCTCCACCGCCGCGCTGCTGCTGTCGCCCGCGCCGCCCGCCGCCGGCTTGCCGCCGACCTCCTCGGGCTTCATGGCCGGGAAGAGCAGGACCTCCTTGATGTTGATGGAGTCGGTCAGCATCATGGCCATGCGGTCGATGCCCATGCCCCAGCCTGGTGACGTCACAGGGGAGGGGGGCAGTCACAGGCAGGGTTGACGTTGGGCGCGAGCACAAGCAGGGACTCCGGGTCTGGCCCATTTGAGTGGTGTGTGGGTGCGATCCTGAGCGTGCTTGAAAGCTGGGAGGGATACATTCGCTCCTGCCAGCTGCCAAGCAAGCAGACTCGACAACCAACAGCCCCCTGGCCAACACGATCATTCAATTGCACGGACCCCACCCCCCCCCCCGACACACATGTGCACACACACCTACACACGCACACGCGTGCGCGCGCGCGCGCGCGCACACACACACACACGCCGACTCTCTCTCTCTCTCTCTCTCTCTCTCTCTCTCTCTCTCTCTCTCTTTCTCTCTCCCTCTCTCTGTCTCTGTCTCTCTCTGCCTCTCTGTCTCACCCACACCCACACATGCACACACATACACTCACCGCCCGTGGGCGGCAGCCCGTACTCGAGCGCCGTGCAGAATGTCTCGTCGATGAACATGGCCTCGTCGTCGCCCGCGGCCTTGTTCTTGGCCTGGTCCTCAAACAGCTGCCGCTGCCTGATGGGGTCGTTCAGCTCGGTGTACGCATTGCACACCTGGCGCGGGGGGGGGGGGATGGTTGTTGACATGCGGTTTGAAAAAACGGGCTTGCAGCTATATGGGTTGAGGGGGGCCAGGGTGCATTGT